TTTCTTGAAAAATGACAAGATTCGCTTTTTAAATTTCCTGTAAAATTTGCACACATGCTAAAAACTGCTTTAAGAAAAAATGTGACATTTCTATCTCAAGCTCCAAACAGTAAATACATAGTTTCGAGTTAATTTGTGTGTTTTATCATCTGCGATGTCTCATACCATGGATTAATAATGTTTTCATATGTTATATTAGGATACAAAATTGTAAGTGTTTTATTATTATTATTATTGTTTTTCTATGAAACTTCTTATATATTATTTATTTAGTTTTAATTTTTATAGTTAAATTGATTGCCACTAAATAAAGGCTAAGATGCTAGCCGAAACGTATGGATTTTAAGTAAATATTTTTTTATCATACTATTTTTATTGATGTAAAACGCTCAACTTTTTAACTCAAATTAAATATATTATATGAACATCAAATTCAGAAACATATAATTTTTTTATTCTGTGCTTTTATGAAAACATATTCGTGATAATAATTAACATATATCAGGTTTATATTTTCTATATATAACATTTATATGGAATTAAACCTGGTGGTGAATTTACTTGCTATAGTTGGTGGCGCCTCTATGAAGTGCGGAAGCAATTAAAATTGTGGTGATGACAAAGCGGCCGTGTTTGCAATTTATTTTTTTAGTGTCACATTGTTATTGTAATTTTTTTTATGTTTACTTGATTTAACCACATGTGCAATGAAGTGGCACATGTGGTAAATGTGTGTATTTTGTCCTTTAAATATATATATATATATATATATATATATATATATATACGGATTAACAGTACCCAAGAAATTGAATCCCGAAAGGATTAACTGAATTGAAAATAGATTCTTGAGAGTCAATTTAAATCCTGAGTACGTGTTTCTTGTTTTACGTCTTTTTTATGTTTTTTTCTCCTAAACTATTAAACAGAAAAAGGATTGTGAGATTATAAACATTCTAAAAAGTGCATACTTTTTAATACTCTCTAATAATAACCTATTGTTATAATACACATTAAAATTAAATTTTTATGTCGTAAAATCAAAATTAGCATTTATATATATATATATATATATATTTATTTATATATATATATATATATATATATATATATATATACATATAAACGCCATCATCAACGTAAAAATAACTCAAAAAATCCCAAACAATTCAAAACCATGTTTACCGAACATATTAATAATCTAAATCATGTATTTTTTTTAAATCCCGACATTATTATAATCTTAGCATTTTTATTTAATTTCCTTCAACCTTTTTTTATTTTTTTATGTTATTATACAATATTGCAAAATTATTTTTTTACATTTTTGCATAAATCATTTAATTTACAAATTATTACATCCAGAATGGCGGTCATTTATACATTCATTTCTATTTTATTTATTTTTCAAAGCGATTCCTGCACAATTGCTCGTTCGTGCAAAAAGTTCAAACAAACAAACAAACGGACGGACAAACGAACTAATAAATGCGAAAAAACTGAATGCAAATATTTGCACATGCAAAAATGCAATAATAGAAAAAAGCCTAAAGCCATAGAAATTGTTAAACGAGAAAAATATGTTGAAAACTGGGAAAGTAAGTTGGCCCACGTTGTACTGAAAATAGTGCAACAATTGTAACTTTTAAATTATTTGTTTAATGTGAGTGGTATATTTGGAAGATTTGTAAAAAATTATATAATCTACAATATTGTCTTACACCATATTGACCTGCAACAACTCGGTATACTTTAAAATTGATGCTGAAAAATAAAATGAAATACGAACACGTTTTTGCTTTTTATCACCTCACTATCAAAAATTTTACGCGTTTATTATAAAATATCAAATAACTTTTAAAGCAATCGGTTAATATGAATGATGTATTTGAAAATTATGTTCAGAATTAAATGTAAAACAATATTTTCTGACATCAAAAGTTTCTATGACAACTCAATATAACCTAAAAGTGCTATCAAAAATCGATAACAAAATTTTAAATATTCACTTTTCAAAACGTTTTATATTTAAAAAAAATCCCCAGACGTCTACAAATTTATGATAATAATTTATAATGTAATATAATTTTCTTTAATATATTTATAATAATATAGTGTCTCTAAATTATCTAATTATCTTTTGCAATTAAAGATAATTTTAGTTATCTGTACAAGGTACATAACGTTTCCTGTAGTATCTTACACCTCAGTATATAAAAAAATATATCAAATGTTAGTTTCAAAAAAACCAAATAAACTTTCACTATTTTTAGTTAAAAACAATTCAAATCGACACAAACTGTTATTAAAAAAAATTAGCAACGCATATTAAACATCCTAAAACAAATTCTAGCGTTAAAATTAGTTCGAAAGTTATTTTTCGCAAAACAAATAAACTATAGTTTTTTATAATAATTTCAAAAAACAACATTTTAATTTGATTAAATACATAGTCATGGTACTTGCTTGTAAATATTATAGGCCTAAGAGCAGTGGTTTTGTTTGAAACCATCCGCTTTGTTTGTTTTAACGTCAGACCACAAAACAAAAAATGTGGTTTACCAAAGAGCACTTCAATGAAACGGATAATTTGCGGATTCACTTTCGAGAAAGAGACACTTCTCTTTCTTAGAGAAGTTCAACTAAAAAACACTTCATTAAATAACTAATGTAATCAAAAACAGTTTTCTTGAAAGAAAATGTTTTTATTCGGAGAATAAACGTTTCGGGTCTTGATTTGACCCATCTTCAGTGCATACAAATAAATTTGAAAAAAAAACACAAAAACACACGAAATCGCACGAAAAAAAAATAATTATGAAAGAAAAAATTGATAAAACGTCGAGTTATGATGAATTTTAAAAAATTATAAAATTAAAATAAATAATGTATTTTATTATAAAAAAGCTTATTCTAAACGAACATGTTGTCAGCTTGGAGTATGTGTTACGTGTCAATTTTCATTCAATAAAACTGTTTTTAATTACTGGATGGATGCCCAAGAACAATTTTATCATATATATATATATATATATATATATATATATATATATATATAACAAAACAAAAAAAATATTATTAAACAAGTCCAGGGTTCAAAATTGCTAAAGACGCAAGTATAAAAATAATTTCTAAAATTAAACTAATAACCTTAGAGGCCTGTAATATTTACACAAACCCACCACGACTATGTACTTCACCAATCCTTACAACAAATTCCAATTATTTTAAACTAAACCAGTAATCACAGAACTCTAATATTCACACAAATTCTTCAATATTATCATGAAAGTTTCACCAAAATCTCATTTACCACGATTAGTTGTTAATACACTCTATCTACTATCAAATCAACTATCAATTTACTTGCGATTCACCTGAGGCGTTGCAAAAGACAAAAGACCAAGGCCCACCTTACACAAACTAGCTCGAACCTGAGATTGCATCAAAAAAAGGATCAAATAAAAACCAAAATTTGGTGTCTGGTGAAAAAAATGGTGACTTACCGCTTTATTTGTCCTTTTATTTGGTCTTTTGTTGGATCCTGCTCGATCCGAAGGGGTTCTGCTCATCATGGTGAAAGGATGGGTAGAGTCATTGGAATTAAATGAATTTTGGAGACACAGTAAATTATTGATTTAGGATTTTAGCCGAACACACTTGCTACTAACAAAACACTGTCTTGATCACAAACACCAGCTTTTGGAAGTTGAAAAAAATATATTTTCCTGGAAACTTCTTGTGTTTTCTGGATATTGCTTCTGGTTGAAAAACAAACCATCAATTGATGTTTTTAATACTTTGGTCACCAAGCTAACTAAATCTAAAACTAAGGAATGTATTGCTAAATCACTTGATGATGTCTTGAATTGGTGCACCAAATATAAGTCTTTCTTATCATAATCCAAGAAGTTTGGGTAAAATATGTTTTGATATGGTGAGTTCAGCAGTCCAAATGATATGTGCTAAAATGTACTAGATTTTTTTTGGAACTAAATGCAGCAGCTGATGTCAAAAATGATAATGTAATATCGACCAGGAAATTGATAATTGATGAATTCTCGGTTCCAATGTCTTTTGTGGCAATTTTGAAAGGATTTTTGGAGATTTGGAGATACTTTTTTACCATTGACCACGTCCAAAATTTAACAATAGCAATAGGAGACTGATAATTAATGAATTTTTAGTTCAAATGTCTTTTGTGGCAATTTTGGAAGGATTTTTGGAGATTTGGAGATACTTTTTGACCTTTGACAACGTCCAAAATTCAGCAATATCCACAAATTTATTAGTTGTTCTCAACTTTATTTCCAGAAGTTCATCAATTGGCGAATTTTCTTGTTGACTATCAGCTGGTGTAGACTTTGCATAATATTAGATGGTCTTGTTGGTGTATTTTAATCTGGTTTGGAATTATAGTGACAACTTGTAAAACCAGTTTGAAGGAAAATACTTAAAGTCAAAATTATAGAAGTACACCAGTTTAAAGACCAATTCTTGTTGAAGATGAAAATCTGTTTTGGTTAAAGATACCTTCTATCCAATCAGTGTTAAGATCTGGTCAAAAAGACAAAGCCAACTGTTAGATGTATTTTAGTCAAGGATAGTTTCTACTGCTACTGGTCGAAAATCCTTTACAGAAGTCACATCTAACAAAAACTCCTAAAATAGTTCAACCAAATAAAGTTGGAGATCGCTCCTGGTTCCAATTAGAGATCACACAAGGTCACAGATTTCTTTTTAAGTCTTCTAACTTCTGGTCTTTATCAATTGTCACTTCTGGTCAAAATTCTCTGCCAACAAGTTATACCTGCTGATCATCAGATTAGATTTTTAGCAAAATTTCTTGTGAACCATCAACTGGTGAAGACTTTGCATTGGAATTATAGTGACAACTTGTGGAACCAGTTTGGAGAAAAATCCTTAAAGCCAAAATTATAAAAGTACACCAGTTTAAAGACCAATTCTTGTTGAAGATGAAAATCTATTTTGGTTAAAGATACCTTCTATCTAATCAGTGTTAAATCCTGGTCAAAAAGACAAAGCCAACTGTTAGATCTACTTTAGTCAAGAATTGTTTCTCCTGCTACTGGCTAGAAATCCTAACAAAGATTCCTAGAATAGTTCAACAAAATAAAACCAAAGAATATGAAACTACACCAACACGTTGAAGATCGCTCCTGGTTCTAATTAGAGATCACTCAAGGTCAGAGATTTCTTTTTGGATAATAACTTGTGGAACCAGAGTAGATAAAATTGCTTAAAAATAATGTAGTTGCCTTTAAGTTCAACAAATGGATGCCAAAACTTCTGAAAGTTTAGACGCCAATTCTTGTTAAAGATCTCACCTTGTTATAATTTACTTTTGGTTAAAGATACCTTCTTCTGGTCAAAAGATGAATCAACTGCTTTGTGCTTTTCTGCTACTGGTCAAAAATCTTTCCTTTTGGTGATGACTCTTGATCAGAAATCACATCTAATAAAGATTCCCAAAATAGTTCCACAAAATAAAGCCAAAAAAATACGAAACTTCTCCAGAAGGCCAGACAATTGCTCCTGGTTTCAGATTCAATTCTGGTAAAAGATTAATCCTGATTCTGGTGAGAGATTTCTTCTAAACAGAAATCTTTTATCTTCTGGTCTTTATCAATTGTCACTTCTGGTCAAAATTATCTGCCAACTGATTTTCCAAATAAACTCCTTCAATTCTTTCACAATTTCTTTTTCTCTCTGGTGATGGTGAATTTTTGAGGTTATCTTCGTTGTGTATCACTGCTGGTTTGAATTTTGTGCAAAGGGCCACTTTTGCGTGATGCAAGTGGCGCATAGTGGATCCGATCAGCTTTGGAAGATTTCGATTATGGTTTGATGATTGTCTGAAAATAGAGAGAAAAAAATTGAGATAAATATATATCAGGGTGGTCTTTAATAAGGATATTTTATGGAATTTCTTTGCTCCCAAGGGCTCAAATGCTTTCAAAGTAATAAAAGAAAATTCTCTTAAAGTTTTAGTGCTTAATATTTACATTTAGATAGTCCGCAATTCAATTAAAAGTTTCTTATATTTATTATCAACTAAATACTTGCGCCATCTGTGATGGCAGACCTGTAATTTTGATGGCATTGTATTACTGATAATTTGAGTGTCAAAATCACCAATTAGATAAATATTTAGCTGCAAAATTAATTTTGATGCCACAATAAATAAATATTACATTAAACAGTCCACATAAATTTAATTACAGGTTAAATGTTTTATAAATATTTTTAAGTGAGTTCAGAACTGCTATCACAGATGGCGCAAGAATTTACTTAATAATAAAAATATGAAACTTTTAATTGAAGTGCGGATTATCTAAATGTTATTTTCTGTTGTAATTTCAATATTTATTACAATTGTTAAATAATTAACATCTAGTAATATTGATAAATAATAACAAATTTAAGTAAATAAAAGTGTAAAGTACAGAATTTACATGAAAATAATATCCGTAATATAATGATTTAATATAAAATAGAAGCAAATAAAAATAAATATAAAATTAATAGATAATATAAATAAAATTTCTGAATAATAAAATAATTCTAGAAAAATAATAAAATATAACAAAATAACAATAATAGAAATAGTAAGATAATAATAAATGTTGATATTAAGGGCTAAAACTTTCAGAAAATTTTCTTTTACTAATTTGGAAGCATTTGACGCCTTGGGAGCGAAGAAATTCAAAAATACAATATGTATATATCGAAATAATAATATTCGGATATATAAATTTTTATTGACTTATCCCCGAAAAGTAACAGAAGCAGTAAAATCGACATAAATATTATATGATACCATATAGTATTTATATTTCCGCTTCAAATATATAAAATCTTCTGTTCGTATATACTAGGCTCCTGAACGGCTAGTCGAATTTCGGTAAATCTTTTTGTGTCGGTTCAAACATTTTTTACATGTTGCGTCATTAAAACACAAAACAGTACATGTCTTTTTTCTTAGACTTTTCCTGACATTTTTTTCAATTACAACTCCTTGTACATACATTAAATTAAATTCCTCGTGTCCTTATTAAACGTATTCCTTGATGGTCCTTCTCCTTCCGAGAGATGTATTTCTAATTGCGCCTAGAGCGTATGCAAACACAACACGGCTACCTTATTCGTTTGTGTTCGTGTTTGTATTCAAAGACGTAACATACGCATTAGGGGCATTTAATAACATTGGTACATATCTTCTCTCAAAGTCCATTTAAATTACAAAGCTGGAGGTGAAAATTGAGATGAATGGGTTAGAAATAGGTTGATTCGGGTATCAAAGGATAAATAGATGGAGAAGAATGTTATCGTTTAAGGCGAAATCTAATTACTAAATTAATAAAACGTGCAATGACCAATATCTGTTTCCCGCTGTAACATCTGTGTCCATTTCGCGGAAATTGTTTCCATCAATTTTTTTCATGTCTCTGTGCATGGGAATGGGGTGAGGGGATCGATCCCCTGGTTCGACCGCAAAAATAAAGCACGGGTGCGAAGTAATGGTGTAATGGAATAACGCGGAGGGATATGATATTAAATATACATATATAATATATATATATATATATATATATACATATATACATATATATATATATATATATATATATATATATATGTATATCTCTCTCTTGGTATGATTTTCAGCCAGTCGTCGAAATAAAAGAAACAAAGAAATACAAAATATTTACTTATAACATACGTTTCGACACGGATTGTGTGTCATCATTCAGCAATTCTTTGTTAACAGTATCTAAAAAATATTTACAAAGATTTTTTTAAAAATAAACTTAATTTTATATTTAAAATAATTAAAAGATATAAACTTTTTTCCCTTCTGTGTGTCACGTGGTTTCTCGTTGGCGTTGCAAGTTCAGTTTCAAAAATCACTAGAAAAACATGTTTCAGTTAATATTGTTAGTTTATATATTTATTTTATTTATATATATATATATATATATATATATATATATAGAAAAACATACGTTTCGACCCTTGGTGTGTCATATAGTAGATTCCGCAAATCTACTATATATACATAAATAAGAGTAATTTTGAATAATATCAGGAAGTCCTATAAAATTACCAAGAAATTCGAAAAAATATCAAGATATTTAAGAATTTTTTAAAATCTTAAGAATCGTTAAAAAATATCTAATGAGTGACGTTAAGGTTCGTTAAAATTTTTTTAAAATCTACAAAAAAAATTTAAAATGACCTGAAAATCTTAGAAAATCTCGTAATTATCTAAAAACCAAGATATTTCATAGAAAGATATAAAAAAAGGGCTAATTCTCGGATAAAATACAGATGCTATGTTATCAAAATGATTTTTCTGACAATTTTCAAGATTTTCTCATATTTTTCTATAGTTTTATGACGATTTTCAACACTTAAGGGCCAATTCTCGGATAAAATAACAATGTTATGTTATTAGTATTACTAAACTGTCGAAAGTTATCTATTTGCTTTGCCATCAGGCGTTTTACACATAGAACCTAACCTCCAAAATTCTAAATAATTATTTTATCAAAAGTGCAACTTTCTGATAAGACATAAGTGAAGTTAGGTTTAATATTTACTATTTTATATATCAGTTTTAAATGATACATACGATATTCACCAAAATTATCATATATATAATAATTTTGGTGAATATCGTCTTCTACTCGTTGATACTTTTTAAACGATATCCAACATGCGATAAAAGAAACGATCTGAAATTTTAGAAGTAAAACTTCTTTAGGCATCTCAGCCATTAATTCGTAAAAATGTATATTTCGGGGATAAATCACATAGTTGAATTCAGTATTCGGATTCTATTCAAAAATACCCAATATGCAAAGAACAATATAAATTTTTTGAAGTAAAACTTCTTTAAGCTCATTTACTACAAAAGTGTATATTACATCGATAGAAAGTAGGAAAAAATGTTACAGATGATAAAAAATAGGATAGAATGTTAAAAATAATAGAAAATAGAAAAAAATGTTGAAAATGATAGAAAATGGGAAAAAATGTTAAAATGACAGAAAATGGGAAAAAATGTTAAAAATGATAGAAAACAGGAATAAAGGAAAAAAAAAACAAGAAAAAGTGTTAAAATTCTTTTAAAATGATGGAAAATATACTAAATGGTTGAAAATTATTAAAAAATGTTGACAAAACATCAAAAATATTTAAAAAAAACATGAAAAAAATCTGAAAATCTGGTAAAATGAATTGAGAATTCTTCAAACCGACAGAAAGGCTTGAAAATCAACGGAAAGTAAAAAAAAAACTTTGGAAAATTATGATAATTGTCTGAAAATCGATAAAAGCGACTGAAGTACTTCAAAAAATGTCAAAAAATCCTGAAAATAATCAGAAAGTTGTAAAAATTATCAGAAAGTACTATATATCATCAGAAAGTCTGGACAAATATTAAAAGTGTTACAATTTGCCAGAAAATTTTGAAAATCGACATAAAGTCGTCAAATAAACTTAAAAAATGCCCGATTTTTTTTAAAAAAGGAGAACATCAAAAGCATTAGATTTTCCAAAGCCTAACGCATGAAATGATGAAAAATGTCCAAAAATAATATTGAATAAATAAAAATTATCATAACAAAGTGAGAATTATTACAAAATAAAAGAGGATAAAGGACTTAAACAAATAATATAAGAAAATATAAAATTACATAAAATAATATCCGGAGATATTCTGAAAACATCAAAGAATTTTTAGAAAGGTCAAAACATAAATATGTATATATACTATATATATATATATAATAAAAAAATGCTAAATGAGCTAAATCATTTGTGCCTTATAAGAAAAGGTGCTTAATCTTGAGGATTTGGTCCTTATCTACCAAAAACAGCTTTTGGAGCCCTTATATATACCCATAATGATATACATACACATATAAATATACATTTATATATATATATATACATATATACATACATATTCGCAACAAATATAAAATTTTTTCAAGTATTTTCGCAAAATTGTGGAAGAAGTTTCATTCGCATGATTAAGTTTAACAATAAAATATTGAGTAATTTCTGATTTTTTTTTCTCAATATTAGAATTAGATAAAGATAATCATCTAACTAAAACAATGCAGATAATTTAAGTATTATTTAAATACAATAGTTGGATTATCTGTATTGCATTGAACATATTACATAATGATTATAATTGACTATTGTGTTCTGGATTTTATTTTAATTGTTGTAATTACACAAGAATTATAAAATTAACAATTTAATCAATAAAATGAATAATAATAATTAATTGACAACTTGCTGAAAATCTAAATATTCTGTTACAAATGTTATTTTGAATTTTCTTGGAATAAATAATACATTTGGGTCAATACTACTAAAATAATAATTCCATTATTATTATTATTATTAACAAATTTATTGTTTGTTCGTATTGTTCGATTGTTCTCTGAAACAATTGATTTTTCAAACAACATTTATTAACAAAGCTTGTATTTTAGTATAATAAACCATAATTAAAGTTACAGTACTATAAATAGTACTGAATCAATCCAATTATAAAACATTTGAATCCCGTACGAATCCAATCAGAATTCGATTCGATTTTGTTTTAATAATAAATATTTGCGGTCGACACGAATCAAAAGGAATTAAATTGGAATTCCGCAAACGAACATTTTTGATAAATATGAGATGACACAAAATTATATATATATATAGACGATCACACTTAATACGATTTTTCGCATAATACATCTCCGTTATTAATATTTTATACTTCATTGAGAAATATTTTATCGAATCGGAAATGTTTGATTAGAGGAAAATTAATTAGCGAATAATTCTACAGATGCGAATATTAATTATGAAATGTATTCAATGCAATGTGTGTTTTGTATTGATGTGCTGATTAGTTTTTGGCAAAGGCTGGTCTAGCAGTTTCGGAAACACTAAGCAAAGAATGTGGAAAATAGAAATCGGGTTTTTGAGTGAACGGAGCATTGGGATTTGAATGATTCAAAAAAAACATTCAATTCGTATTGTTGGGGTGAAATGGTGATTAGTTTTTGGGAAAGGCAGGTCCAGCCGTTTCGGAGATACGGAGCAAAGGGTGGAGAAAATAGAAATCAGAAAATTTTTAAGTGAAAGGAGCATCCGACTTGAATGGTTAAAAAAAACGTTCAATTCGTATTGTTGGGGAGAAATGGTGATTAGTTTTTGGGAAAGGCAGATATAGCCGTTTCGGAAATACGGAGCAAAGAGTGCAGAAAATAGAAATCGGGTTTTTGAGAGAACGGAGCATCCGACTTGAATGGTTCAAAAAAAAACGTTCAATTCGTATTGTTCGAGAGAAGTGGTGATTAGTTTTTGGCAAAGGCAGGTCTAACCGTTTCGGAGATACAAACTAAAGGGTGGAGAAAATAGAAATCGGGTTTTTAAGTGAAAGGAGCATCCGACTTGAATGGTTCAAAAAAAAAACGTTCAATTCGTATTGTTGGGGAGAAGTGGTGATTAGTTTTTAGGAAAGGCAGGTCTAGCCGTTTCGGAGATACGGAGCAAAGAGTGTAGAGAATAGAAATCGGGTTTTTGAGGGAATGGAGCATCCGACTTGAATGGTCCAAAAAAAACGTTCAATTCGTATTGTTTGGGAGAAGTGGTGATTAGTTTTTGGCAAAGGCAGGTCTAACCGTTTCGGAGATACAAACTAAAGGGTGGAGAAAATAGAAATCGGGTTTTTAAGTGAAAGGAGCATCCGACTTGAATGGTTAAAAAAAAACGTTCAATTCGTATTGTTGGGGAGAAATGGTGATTAGTTTTTGGGAAAGGCAGGTCTAGCCGTTTCGGAGATACGGAGCAAAGAGTGTAGAAAATGGTAATTCAGTTTTTGAGTGAACGGAGCATCCGACTTGAATGGTTAAAAAAAAACGTTCAATTCGTATTGTTGGGGAGAAATGGTGATTAGTTTTTGGGAAAGGCAGGTCTAGCCGTTTCGGAGATACGGAGCAAAGAGTGTATAAAATAGAAATCGACTTTGTGAGTGAACGGAGCATCCGACTTGAATGGTTCAAAAAAAAACATTCCATTCGTATTGATGAGGAAAAGTGGTGATTAGTTTTTGTCAAAGGCAGGTCCAACCGTTTCGGAGATACGGAGCAAGGAGTGTGAAAAATAGAAATCGGGTTTTTAAGTGAAAGGAGCATCCGACGTGAATGGTTCTAAAAAACATTCAATTCGCATTGATGGGGAGAAATGGTGATTAGTTTTAGCAAAGGCAGGTCTAACAGTTTCGGAGATACGGAGCAAAGAGTGCAAAAAAATAGAAATCGGGTTTTTGAGAGAACGGAGCATCCGACTTGAATGGTTAAAAAAAAGAAGTGGTGATTAGTTTTTGGGAAAGGCAGGTCTAGCCGTTTCGGAGATACGGAACAAAGAGTGTACAAAAATAGAAATCAGGTTTTTGAGAGAACGGAAATTCTAATTTTTAAATAAGGCATTTTATTCAATTTTTCTATTACTCAGATTTTTTGGCATTTGAGCAAGGAAATTCGAAAATGGCCATATTAAGGACCACCCTAAATTATATATATATATATATATATATATATATATATATATATATATATAAAGTTTGTTAATAAAATGCTACATAAGTCATTGAGATTTTATCTTTAAGTATTTCCCTGCAATTTTATACAACGCAGTCATCAACTTTTATATATAGATAATATTATAAACATATATATATATATATATATATATATATATATATATTATATTTATTTATAATTAATGTATATATATAGAAAACGTATCTAAGATGTTTGAAACTTGATAAGATTATTAAATGTGCTTAATGCGCGTTTAGCGAAAAATATTTGCATATTTAATTGTGCACACATTTCATATCTTAAATATAATATATATATATATATATATATATATATATATATATACAAACTTGCATTTTACAAAACCAAATTCAATCACAAACAAAAGAACACATACAAATGATAGAGATTTTCATTAAGAATTTCATCTTATTCATATGTACGTTTCGGCTTGCATCTAAGCCATAATTCCTATAATACGAGATAATTATCACTAAAAGTTTGTGGTAGGAGGGTCAAAATTTAGGGTATATAAGAAATCAAGTCTTATTCTTACCAGTAGGTATATTGTTTGCCCATTTTGAGCCCACTTAACCCGAATGTCTTAAATTTAACCCATTTTTGCACTACACGTCCTTCTTTGCTCATCGATCAATCAAAATTTATGCACGTCACTGCTTTTTTACTGTTTTTATTGAACATTTTCGAATAGAAACCATAGTTTTAGCTCACACTTGTAAAAGACAGTTAATATAAATTGAATTATTATTATTATTTTAAACGAAAAATGACTTATTTGTTAAAAAATAAATTAAATCATTTTAGATTTAAAAATGCAATATTTGATTTAAACAAAATAAAATAGAGAATTCCATATTTTTAGTTTACAAGTAAAAAAAAATAATAATAATAATTAATTTTGATGATAAATTATAAAAATAATTGATGACTATTTTGATGATAAATTATAAAAATATTTGATGATAAAAAAAATTAATTTTGGAATATTGAATTTTAAATTTTAATAATATTTTGATTTTAAATATCTGAGTATATAATAACTAAACTTAATAAAATAAACTAAATTTTTCAATTTTATATAATTTCTTATTATAAATGTATAATTTTAATGCAAAATTTATTTTTTTACTTTTTTTTTTAATTTAATATTTGACATCTAATACTAATAGTAAATTTGTTTTATATATGTAATATTTATAAAATAAAAATATTTAATTTAAATTTATTAAATACAGTTCTATATTTAAATCAAAATTTAATATTTATTTTAATTTTAATTTTATTTAGTACTTAATTATTTTGTAAACATTTTTGTATTTAATAGTTTATTTACTTGTATATATAATATACATATAAAAAAAATCAACACTAAGACTAATATTAAGTCATAAGTATTATTAATATTAAGTAAAATGGTATTTTAATTATTTATTACTTATTATTTTTGTTATTTATTAACTTCCCGTATGGTAAGTTATAGTAATCGTCCAAAAATCGAAATCAAAAATTTTTACATTTCTCGACGTTTTGAAGGTTTTTGAACATTTTGGCATACTTCAGAAAAAATGGATGTGTGTGTGTGTGTGTGTGTGTGTGTGTGTGTTTTGTATGTTCGCTTTTTTTCGTCCACGTTTTCGGGCGCACGGATCAACCGGTTTGAATGGTTTAAACATTAAACATTCGATCCCTATTGATAGGGAGATGTGCTGATTAGTTTTTGGCAAAGGCAGGTCCAGCCGTTACGGAGATATGGAGCAAAGAGTGCAAAAAATTGAAAGCGAGTTTTTGAGAGAACGGAACAACCGATTTGAATGGTTTAAAAAACATTCGATTCCTATTAATAGGGAGATGTGCTGATTAGTTTTTGGCAAAGGTAGGCCCAGAGGTTTCGGAGATACAGAGCTAAATTTAAAAAAAATGGCAGTTTTTGAGAGAACTAAGCGTCCGATTAAAATGATTCAAAGAACTTTCTGCTTGTTTCAACAAAATAATTGATTTTGGAAAAAAAAAATTTTTGTTTTAATTTTTTTTTCAAAAATTTTTTTTTGTAATTTTGGACTAAAAATTCAAAAAATCACCCAGGCTAAGCACAGTCTAAGCGCCACTCTGGTACAAATGCTTACGCAAGTGCGTTTAGACTGTTTGTGTACTGGAGCACTTTTCCAATTTTGTGAAAATTATTGAAAATGTGAAAATGCCGCCAATCTGAGCACAGTATAAGTGAAAATGTCGCACAGAATTATTTGCAAATGCGTTTAGACTGTGACTATGCAGGAGCACTTTTTCAATTTTGTGTAAATTTGGCAACTTTTTTTTTTTTTGAATTTGATTCGAAATGAAATGACGATTGTTAATGTTCTGGAGATGATAAATTGATTTATTTATAATTAACTTTCCATAGGGTAAGTAATCGCAAAAAAATCGAAAATGAAAATTTTTATATATCTTCACGTTTCAGAGGTTTCTGAATATGTTGGCATACCTTGGAGAAAATTGATGTATGTGTGTGTGTGTGTGTGCGTGCATGTGTGTGTGTTCGGATACAAATTTTCGTCGACGATTTCGGGAACACGGATGAAGCAATTTGAATAATTCAAAAAACATTCGATTCGTATTGATAAGGAGACGTGCTGATTAGTTTTTGTCAAAGGCAGGTCTAGCCGTTCCGAAGATATGGGGCAAAAAGGGCCAAAAACGGTAACTCAGTTTTTAAGAGAACGGAGCGTCCGATTTGTATAGTTCAAAAAACATTTTACTTGTATTAACAAGATGAAGATTTGATCAAATTTTCATGAAGATAGGTCTAGCGGTTTCGGAGATCTAGTAAAAAAACTAAAAAAAAAATAACATATGGCGGTCAACAATAATCATTAGACATTAGACATATGCATATCAAATTATCAGATATTTTATTGAGATTTTAACAATAAGTATAAGTTTTGTTTACATTCCTATGGGTTCCGTACTAATGTTTTTCCGTTAGACAGCGACGCGGCGCTTACGCGCTTTATTTTTTGTCACTATGCAGTTAAAGAAGTACGATTGCTTTGAAAAAAAGTTCAGATCTTCCAAAATATGTCAAAATGAAGATAACATTTTTTCCAGAAAAAAATTTTATAAAAAAAATTGTTTAAAAATTTTGTTTAAAAAAAATTTTTTTTTCAAAAAAAAGTAATTTTTCGTCCAATTTAAAATTTCCAAAAAATCTTATTTTTTCGAAGTAAAATTTTTTCAAAAATGTTAATCGTTTTTAAAAAAATAATAATTTTTGGCACGGGAAGTTCCAGCAATTTGCCTTAAGGCACGATGCCTTAATTGCCTTAAGACAGAATTTCACTTACAGCTAGTTATTTTTTTACATCAACATAAAAAATGTGACTGATTAAGTCAATTAATAAATATAATAAAAAATATAATATTAATTTTATAATGATTTATAAAGAAAATACTTTTTCGTTACAATCATTCGATTAAGTCGATTAATAAATATAATAAAAAATTATAATATTAAGTTTATTAATATAATTTTATAATGATTTATAAAGAAAATACTTTTTCGTTACAATCTATTTTAATTATAATTTTATCTTTTATTCTTTCTTTAAAATTGATTAAACTATTTGAATTTTTTATAACATATTATTCGTAATATTTAAATAAATATAGTAATTTTAATATCTAATTATTATATTTTATAAGAATGTCTTCAATATAAAAGGGTACATTATTTTTTTTTTAATTTAAAATTATTTAAATTTTGGGGTAAATACTTTTAGTATTATTTGTTTGAAATATTAAATACTAAAAATTTTAAATATAAACAAGTATTAAATTAATAAAAAAATTTAAAACTATTATAAATGATTTAATACTAAATTGAAATTTTAACAAATCCTTGCAAGGACATTATTTATTTATAAATTATTCATTAATTTAAGCTCATATAATATTAAACAAAATAAAATTAAATATGAATTCTTTACAGTACACTTTTCAACAAAATCGTCAAAATAAATCAATTACCACTAGTTTTTCGATCCACAAAAGCACTGTTTACATAGTCCACACTTTAAACAATTTATTAAAATTGACTAAATATTAAAATGTGTATTAGAAATATTTTTAATATTAATAATAATGTAAAATCGTGTCCTTATCGAATCGCCTTGCACGAGATACTACGGAACGGACGGAACAGCACCACACATTTCGACCTGGGAAGTGGTCGTAGACTATGTAATCGGATGGATAGAACGATAGATAGAAATATGATGAACTAGTGGTGCATGGCATCGTGCCTTGAGACAAATTGAAAACTGTTAACTAGATGTGAGAGTCATTTAATATAATATGGCTAAATAGAAGGCAATTGGGTAAAAAATAACCCTTCGTAGTATTAGTAGTATGATTGATAAAAACCATGAACCAGACAATGCTATCTTATGCTTGTTTATTGGTAGTGAAATTGTAAAAATGTCTATTTGCCATGCGATCAGGCGTATTTCACATATAAACAACGTATTTCATATATATTAAATGTTATGATAATTGCACCATTTAAAATTCTATTATCATAACATTCTTCTTTTCTTGTTTATATGTAAAATACGCCTGATCGCACGGCAAATAGATTCACTAATAAGAACCAGCATAAGATAGCGTTGCCATGACAATGCCATTTTATAAGGCAGAATTTCCCCGTAAGATTATATTAATAGAGGAACGTCCTCGCCGCCTGCCCTAAAAAATTGTTCTAGATTTTTTTGGTCTAAGTGTAAAATATTTTACAAATACAAAATGTGTCTGAGTTAATAAAATGCAATGCAATTTTTGTTTAAAAAAACATTTGTTCCCATTGTTCAGACAACAATGGAACAATACTGACAAACAATTTGTTATATAAACTATAATAATTATAATGATGATATTTATTATTTTAAGAGTATTAATTTATATATATGTTTAAATAATTTCTGAATTAAAGGAGAAGGAATTACTCTCCTCAGAGTTCTATTTTGTGTGTCAGTAGAGTCCCTTCTCCATCTTTCTATAAAATTGTGTCCAATTATATAAATATACAAGTTTAGCTTAAAATTCACAACTTGCATAAAACAATAGTTTATAATAATAAATTTCAATTTCAATTAAAAATACATACATAGTATGAAAATGCAAAAAGACTCTACTGAAAAGCAAAATAAAATAGCAAAGAAAACAAACTCCACTGACAAGCAAAATCTATTTTATGAGTGAAACAAAAGAGACTTGAATGACGTTCAAACTAGAATTAAATGAGAAGAGAAGGGACTCTACTGATGAGCAAACTAAAAAGGGACTCTACTGACAAGCAAACGAAAAGTTGAGAAAAGAAGGGACTCTACTGGCGAGGAAACTGGCATTTATAAAGAGGAGGGACTCTACTGACGAGCAAACTGAAAGTTGGGAAAAGAAGGGACTCTACTGGCGAGCAAACTGGCATTTAAAAAGAGAAGGGACTCTACTGACGAGCAAACTGAAAATTGAGAAAAGAAGAGACTCTACTGACGAGCAAATTAAATTTTGTAATATTAACAAAAGGAACTCTACTGACGCTCAAATTCAAATTAAATGAGAAAGGAACTCTACTGACGAGCAAAATAGAATTGAAAAAAAAAATCTATGATGACCAGCTGAACCAATTTTATGAGGGGAACAAAAGGGACTTGACTGACACTCAAACTAAAATATAAGAGGAGAAGGGATTCTACTGAAGAGCATATTTAAAAAGCTGAGTACTATGAAAATTAAGATTAACTCTACTGATGAGCAAATTCAATTTTGGAAAAAAGACTTTACTGAAATTTTGTGGAGAGGAATAACACAATATGCTCTACTGGCTAATAAACCAGATTTAAATTAGAAAGAGACTCTACTGACGACCAAAATCAATTTTGTGGAAAGGAACAAAATGGACTCTACTAGCTAAAAATCTAACATTCAGGGACTCTACTGACGATCAAATTTAAATAGGAATAAACTCTACTGACCAAAAAAATCAATTTTACAGAAGGATACAAAAGGGACTTTATTGACAAACAAACTAAAAGAGATGAAAAAGGAAACTCAAGTAAACGAGCAAACAAAAATATAAGAAGAAAAAAAATTGTACTGACGAGCAAACTAAATATTTTGAGGAAGAACAGAAGGAAATCTACTGATGAGCAAGATCAATTCCGTGGAGAGGAACAAAAAGGGACTCTACTGACGACCAAAATCAATTTTCTGGAGAGGAAAATACATAATATACTCTACTGGCTAATAAACCAAATTTAAATCAGAAAGGGACCCTACTGACGACCAAAATCAATTTTCTGGAGAGGAACAAAATGGACTCTACTGACTGAAAAACTAACATCCAGGGACTCTACTGACGAGCAAATTTAAATAGGAAAAGGAATAAAGACTATTAGCAAAAACGACATAAAATATACGTTTTTTGAATTATATAATTGTTAAAAATAAAATATTGTAATATTTTATTAGATAGACAATTTTAAATTGTA